GAGATGAAGCTACTCTTCTTATATGTGATGACTGTGATCGGGCGTGGCATCTCGACTGTAGTTCACCGAAAGTAACTGAAGTTCCACAAGGTATTTATCTCTTTATTTATCTCTTTTTATTTATCTTCCGTATTATATACAAATACAATTTTTATTTTTTATTTTTTTATTTTTATTTTTTATTTTTTATTTTTAACATTTTTAACACTCAATGAAAAAATTCCCCCACTCCTTATTAGGTCCGTGGTTGTGCTCCCTTTGCGCACAATGCGATTCATGTGGAGAAAAAGCCACTTCTTTGAATGATGCTGCTAACAATTATATACATAAAGAAGCAAATTCCGATAATTCGGATTACCCTATTTACCTAGCTACAATTTGTAATAGGTGCGAGGCTAATTTTTCTGCAGATAGGTTTTGTCCCGTGTGCCTTAAAACTTATTCAGATGCAGATGATAGTCAAGATGATGATGATAAGGATATGGTATGTTGTGATGATTGTGACAGTTGGATTCATGCAAGATGTGATCCTCTCATCACTCCTGAACGATATAAAGAGCTGGTTGAAGAAGATGCTAAGTACAGATGTCCGTTATGTGATGGAAGAATTGAACCTCTTAAAGAAGGAGACGAGGAACAAATTCTTGCTTTGTCTGGTTCTCCCATGGCGATTCCCGCTTCCTCAATTTCTCAAGGTCGATATATTAGAGGAATCGTGAACTTTAGAGGAAAGAATGTTGCAGTGCCGGTGATTCGAGGAGGTGATAGATATACTATGTGAGAGGAATGTTGTAAATAATATATAAAATAATGATAATTTTAATTTTGAAATAAATAAATAACTAAAAAATTAATTAAATCTATCTTCTAACTTATTATAATAGTAGCTTAAAATAAAATTGTTTATTCCAATATTATAAACATAAAATTTACGAATATGTTGATATAAATGGAAATTGATATACAATCAACGCGTATCATACGTCATCGAAAAAAATCGCCGATCACAATTGAAGTTTAATGTGATTCTACATGCCAACACCAAAACTTTATTTCCAAGTATAGAAATAAAATTTTGTTTGATTAGTTAATACATTGTGACAATTTTATTAGTTCTGCGATTTGAAAAACATTCGTCCGCAATTAAATTTAATTTACAAATTTGCAGTTAATTGCAATCAATATAATCAATATATATCTATCTGTTCTGTTTCCTAATGAAAATTAAAATGTAAGACGATTGAATTCACTGGTTGTTTGAGACATTGTTATTCAAATGTTGTACCTTTTGATTAAAATTTTTTACCTAAATAAAATTTCTTCCAAAAATCATCTGATTCAAATATAAAATAAAAACCATAAATCTTTTTTATTTGATTTTTGCAATCCAAATATCATTCTAACCTTCCAAGTCTTCTTACGTCTTACGTAAAATTCTCCTTTGTAATATAATATTATACGTGATTGAATGTTAAATAAATCATCTTTAGAATTTGTACCACCATTGCATTATTGCATTGCAGATTGTGATGTGAAACCCCTATATAAACCCCTTTTTAGCGTTTGAATGTTTAGATATTGCATTTTGTTTTCTGCAATGTCACAAAGTCCGTATCATATTAGTTCACCTTTATCTTCCCCTGATGGCACTTCACTTAGTTCTGGTCTTGAGGGTGATGATATTTTAATGATATTCAAAATTTTGTTTTTGAATATTACATAAATATTAAAATAAAATTTGATTTTTTTTAGATGAAGCAGGACAACAAAGCTTAGAACGTAAATTACGTAAAGAATTAAGAAGAAGAAAACGTGAACTCGAAAAAGAGGCTGAAGCAAGACGAAAAGAACGTAGTGTTACTTTAAAAAAAATAGAAGAAGGTGAAGAAAAAGAAGAAGTACATTTTCAAGAATGGGCGAAAAAAATTAAACAATTGCAAGAAGAGGGTGATATAGAAAGACAAAGAGTTGAACGAGAATTGGAAGAGGTAAGAATAATTGATAATATATGAATTCGGAGTTTTACATTTTTATACCATACGCGTTTTTTTTTAATGAGAATTTTTTTTTTTTTTTTTAAATAAAACTTTAAAATATTATTACTGATCTAATATTATTCTCTTTAAAAAAACAAATTAAAGGACATCATAAAAACTAGGAAAGCAAGAGAAGAAAGACGTCGAAGCAGTTCAGTGTTGACAACAACAACAAATGATCCATTAAAATCATTGAAAAGAAATTCAATGGATCCATCATTTGGATCATTAACCCCAAAGTCACTCGGTTCCCCTCCCGTAAATTCTAAAATAGATTCATTTGTAATAACAAAAATTTCGGAAGAACAAACTGCCAACATTAAAATAGATAACGTAGAGACTATCTCTAATTCTTCATTGACTTCTGAACCTCTACCGATTAACGCGAAAATTGATATCAATAATAACAAAGTAATTTTTATAATTATTTACTTTCATAAAATATGAAACCTTCTAATATAATATGTTTCATTTATTTCAAAAGGGTACCAAACATCTATCAGTAATTGAACCAAGAAAAAATACCATTGAAGCTGTAGAATCTTTAATTAAAGAAGATAATGATTCTAAAGAGGTAACTTTAAAATATTCATTCTTTCATAAATAAATTAATTTATAACTCTTAAAAATATATCGATTTACAAAAAATTTTATTTAATTAAGGGTGATGGAATTACGTCAAGATTAATTAAAAGATTTTCAAATTCAAATAATTTAAATCCTACCTCTCCAAGTCCATCACCTCCATCGAAACAACAACAACGTGGAAGTGTAGCTGCAATTATTCAACAACACAAATTAAAAGAACACAAAACCGAGTTAGACAAATCTCCGACTTCTCCTATACCTAAGAAAAAGGTGTTAGAAAATTGGGGTGGTGGGCAATCGTTTGATAATTCTAACAAGGACACTGATGTGACTAAAAGCATAGGATTTAAAATTAGTCCAGTTAGTAAAAAATCTGATGATGAATATGGAAATAAATCTTTTACACAACATAAAAACATTAGCGATAATGAAATTAATAATTCTGTAACAACTTCTGATTCTGAGAACAAAGACATTAAAGACATTAATGAAAAAAAAATTAATTTGAAAACTAATTCATTTAGCAGTAAAACAGCAAATGAAAATAGTAATGAAATTAATAATAATAAAATTAGTAACAGAATTAATGTTAAAATTGAAAATAAAGAAGCGGAAACGCCCAATATCTCAAAAGATTCTCAACAAAAGGTCACAGGGCGCTTGAACATAAATAATATTTTTAAGGTCGTGAAAAAAAAAAACTCCGAATTATTTATTTTGAATTGTTTTATGTGAACATTCCATGCTTATATTGTATATTTATTATATTTCAGGAAAATGAAAGTAAAGAAAGTAAAGAAAGTAAAGAAAGTATTTCATCAAAACCAAAAAAATCTTTAACTGATCCATTACCGACAAAGAAAAAGTCTTTG